AGTGAGAGGGCAGTAGTAGTGCTAAACAGAAGTTAGAATAAATATTTATATAAATTATAAATCATTATATATATATATATATATAAATATATTTGAACGATACAATAATAATACATACATATGAATATAAACGTACATAAGTAAGAATATATGGTACGAGTATATACATATTTGTTAAGTCGGGAACTAACCTACCTGTCTACCAAGTTTCACTCAAATCCGTTCAGTAGTTTTTGCGTTAAAGAGTAACAAATATTCATTTATCCATCCATTCTTACAAACTTTCGTATTTATAAGATTAATAGGATTTCTTCTTAAAAGATCCTTAGCAATTTCTCTGTTAATGCAAGTGCTCATGATAACGCCAGTTAGGGTTTAAGTGATGTTTTTAGAGCGATGCTGCTGCTCATCCCTCAACCATTAAGTTCCCTTAGTCGCCTCTTACGACACCCACGGGAAAGCAAGGGGTGGCCTATTCTATGTGGGGACCACACGGCAATGAGTGGACAGCATTACACTGAATATTGAATTATCTTTTATTATATTATTATTATAATTTTATGCACGTAAAAATCATTAATTCACTTTTACTCCACCTATTCACTTCTTTTGGGGGGAAAGGGTTTGTTAGTGATGAGTTCTAACAGTCCCATTGCTAGCAATATATCAGGTCGATTTCCACGTGATTCCCCTTGAAAAATATCGTGATTAATTGTTATCGAATTTCACAACAGGCCAATTGATCTGCTTACATCTTCAGCTATCATTTATCACTGGTGCCCCGCCAGCGTCTACAGATGGCAGAGGCGGCGTGACCATTCCATTTTCACACCATTACAAAGAAACACTTCTGTATGTTCTCGTTTAACCAAAGGTTGTCTGCAAGAGATTGCCCTAGCGATAAGACCGCCTTTTGTACATTTATATGTATATTTTGATCTGTACTATATACTATTGTATTTCACTTGAATTATATGTCGGTATATATTTTTATGTTTCTGGTGCAATAAAGAGTTAATAAATGTGTCCAAGTACTAATTTAAAATGCAAATTCATCTGTCTTTTTACCCGTGCAAAGCCGGGGCGGGTCGCTAGTGTTTTACAAGTGCTCCCTATCATCTCGTTTGCTCGTCTTTCATACTATTATCATAGTTTTATTAATCATTAACCAAACAAGTTACAAGCTTGTCGTTAGTTCTTATTTTGTTTGAATCGTGTGTCACAGTGTACATGTGTGTACACCCACAAGTAAGTCATTAATTACGTTGTTGAACTGGTTTAAGAATTTCTTGTCGATTCCTCTCAATAGTAAATAACTTCCCGGTTAGATATAGCCGCGATAACAATATTATTATTCGAAAATAACAAACAAATCTAAATAAACACATGGGTTTGTTGCGTCTTTAAATAGTATTTATTCGTCTATTGATAGCGAATCGTTTATTATTGTCTGTTTTAGAAGCCATTTTTTTTTTCTAATTTGGAATGGCAAACTAGCTGACGTTCCACCTGATGGAAAGTGGTAACCGTCGCCTATACACATGAGCAGTAGCGTGGATATAACAAGACTTAGTATGACATTTTTTTATGATAATTTCCGTCTTTTACAATTTTTACTTCTCGTTTTATGTTTTTATTCCTTTAGTCGCTTTTTTTGATTCTATCTTTTTCTATCAACGCTACTACTAATATGATAACAGCTTACAGAGGTATTGTTAGTATTGGGGATAAGTGGCCCCGATGATCATTACGCTTGGCGTCTATGCAATGATAAGTTTTAATTTACTATCACATTTTTTTTAACGGGAGAAAATGGAATGAAAGTCCCGCCTGTGCTAACGGTATACGCTGGCGAGGCACTAGTGAAGGGTAATCTAAGAGAATGAAAACAGGTCAGTTGGCTGATCATGATGACTTCATCTGGAATTAACCATGATAGTTGTCAGGTGGAACCGCGTAGAGGTCGACCTGGTAGGGTATATTGCTAGCAATGGGACTCTTTCTTTCCCCACACTATCACATATTTGAAACAAATCGATAGTATTATGTAGACGACAGGAAGTGGGTGGATGCGAAAAAGCAAAACGCACATGTTGAAAGGCATTGGTAAAACTTATGTCCAATGGGGGAAAGGGATTGTTAGTAATGGGGTCAAATAGCCCCAACACTAGCAATATACCCTGGTCAAGTCGAACTCCCCGCAGTTCCCATTGAAAACTATCGTGCTGTGTTCCAGTACACCTGCAATGCCGTTGGTGTTGTGGGTGATCATAGGCGGCGGTAGTCACTGTGTTGTAAAAAAAGGTGTATTTATCACGATGGGTTAATCAACTTGCCTTTTCATATCTCAGGTATCATCTATCACTGGTGCCCCGCAAGTGTATACCGATAACGCAGTCGGGGTTACCATACCATTATCCCCTATTAAAAAAAAAAAACCTATATTTAGCAGTGAATAGATACAGGCTGAAATTATGACGATGATGATCATCACATCATTATCATCTCAGCCATTATCCGTCCACTGCTGGACACAAGTGTCCCCCATTGACTGCCACAAAGAACGGTCCTGAGCCAACCAGCATCCACTGACTCCCTGCAATGCATTTCAAGTCGTCACTCCATGAAGGCGGGAGGGGGTTATCACATAATTAAAGTTAATTTAAATTTTTCACGCCAAATTGTGGCGAAATTTGTGAACTAATAAATTTGCATGCTTTAAACTATAAGGCGAACATTTGTACTTCACAATAAATCAAGATCTGTAAAAACAATGTTCTGGCAAATAAATGTATCTATCTAATTATCTTTGTAGAAGACAAATGACATGTGATGCCATAGTAGATGGCTGTTTTCTGCATAACTAGCACCAATTATGATCCACTATATTCTTTACAAACAAGAACAATTAAAAGCTAATCAAATAACTCTGGTGTGTCACGGGTGTCTAGGTTATCGGCGTTATCGGCTGATCCCTGGCCTGTTTACTAGCCGCCTGCTTGTAAGTTTGTCTTCTAGGCAAATACGACAAGGCTGTGTTTGTACTCGCAACTAATTTATATGAGCTAACTTGCTTACTTATTAAGTGAGACTACACGACATCGCCTCGCCGTTGTGCGGTCTAGAATAATTTTTATTTAAAACACATTATGTACTTTTTTTTTATTTTTATATATGTCTATCTATTTATCCTATTTAAGAGCTGCTCTCTTGTCGGTGGAGCTCTCGTCACTCACTAAGATTTTCAGCGAGTCTTTGAAGAGAGGTGAACCTCTTGATACGACATCGTGTAATTGTTCTTTGTACGCACATCAATAGACTCTGTTACTGTTATGTTGTGATTTTTTCGATTTATTCTGAACCGTTTGTAATAATTGCTGTGATGTTTACTATCAAATTGGTCTTATATTAATTTTGTCACGATTAAAGTTATTTTTTTTTTAAAGTTGTTTGTGTAGATAGGATCACATTTGGCGATAGAATATCAATTTTGGCAAACACGCGAGTCTCCACAGAAACAATTTAATTGTGGCGTCAGCGTGTACTAATCGGGTGACATTAGATAATGTCAAGCACCCAACGTTGTTGACCTATAGTCTTACACGGTTGGCCGTATGCGAAAGCTTCAAGTTGTTCGGCGAACTATGGAAATTGAGGCTACCCGCAAAAGAACTAAAGTGACCGGTAATTTATTTACAAAATATTGGTGATTGCCAGTCGCAGATCTTAAGTTACAGTTGTTCAGCAATATTTACCATTTCGGTGTGTAAATGTTTTTTTTTTTACAACATCCAAAATAATAGTCATAATAACATCAACAAAACCAAATACTTCAAATTACAATCACGAATAATAAGTCAATGTTATGCCTTTACAGCGTCAAGTATCACAAATTACATCTATTCAAAAAGCCTTTCACAGAATAGAAACAACCGTCAATTAGGGAGTCGAACAATCTTCTCCTAAACTGTGTGTTGGTCAAATTTTTAACATTATTAGACAATTTATTATATATTTTAATAGCCATGCAATACCTGTTTCTTTGAAACATGTTAAGTCTCTGTGTCGGTATTTCTAATTTATTATGAAGTCTTTGACTTCTATATAAATTAGAAATAGCTCGAAGAACTGACAACTGATGGGGAAGAACGGTTCTTGAGTGGCAATCCTGTACGGATATATGCAGTGTAGGACGATTTCTGCTCTAGATTAGATTAGATTAGATTTCTTTATTTGCGAGAACATTGGAATGGCGATCTCAAATGCATTGCCAGGAAGTCAGTGTCAGCACCTCGGGACGGTTTCTTATGGCAGTTCACGCCATATCCCACCCTTCAAACCGAAACACAGCCATGCAAACACAACTACTTCACGGTTGATACATGAATGGGACAGAGGTACCCAAGCAATCGACTTTCGTACAAAGTCTACCTCTGATACTATTGATACGATTGCCTGTTAACCTCTTCATATTATCTATTAGGTACACATCATTCATTTAATTCTATCTGTAAATCTTTTTTATGCGCCATAAACAATTCATTATTATTACCCTCAATGGCGTATCTTATACCTTTATATACAATTGTTTTACAAGTGCCAAAACACTCGGTTAAATTGTTTAAAATGTTTTATTTTGACTCTATTTTACTAAAATTTTGCCAAGAAGAAAATTTGTAGTAAAATAGATTCAAATTATTTCATTCAAAATAAATTCATCACATTGGGCCAACTGACTAGACATCATTCTCACCTATCATCCTTCACTAGTGTCCGGCATAGCGTATATCGATTGCTCAGGCGGGATTCATATCAGCCGTCTCTTTACTGCTAAATGTAGGCTTTTGGTTTTTGCCAGTAGTTGCCACGCTTGGCAGGCGGGTTGACAACCGCAGTTAGCTCTCGGTGATATTTTAAGAGAGATGCTTAAGGCGAGATTATTATTCCATTAACAAAGAATTCCTTTCGCGGGCTCTAACTAACCGTCCGATAATTTGCAGAACAAGCAACCGTACTTCCCGATCTTCGGCGAGCAGCACCCGCGGCCGCCGCGTTCGCGGCCAAAGGACGCGCAGGGCACCGTGCGCGCGTGCGCCGCCTGCCTCCACCACCTGCTGCAGCAGTGGAACACGTACCAGGTAAGTGTATCGTTATACAATCTCGAACTCTTCGTCTCAGTGCTACGACGAGCTGTAAGAATTGTTGATGAACCCAGGATTCCAAGCAGTATCGAACCTTTAAGTCTCAGGAGAGATTTAGCTTCACTCTTTCCGAGAGTCTACAGTATTGTCGGCAACGCGTGCGTAATGCCCCTGCTATTGCAGGCGTTGATTGGCTACGGTAATCGCTTAACATCAGGAGGGCCGTATGCTTGTTTGCTATCTCAGTGGTATAAAAAAAAAATGTGCTGGCACATCTTCAACCGTCTCACCGGAATAAAAAGTAGCGCCATTCCAAAAGTTACGTGGATATTAAATTTCATTACAGTCAAGCAGTTAAGGCGCCAAGTCATTTGTTTTCTGAGTGCAATAAATTGAAGAACATTTGAAAATTCCTTCAACACCAAATTTGATCAGTACCAATTTGTACAAGTGTGTTTTTCTACAATATGCATACCATGTGCCGCAATCATGGCTATTAATATAAAATCTCACTTTCTCATTTTTAATATTGGTTAATATATAGTTTATGGTGCGCCAAATGCAAACGGATCACGGATAGAGTGGTAAAAAATTACAGGAAACGAATTTACTCAGACTTTGATAATATTACCATAATTTTAAAGCGATTTTCTAAAAAAAGCAGATTCTCAGTTCTTTGCATTTTTTATAGCTTCGTTACACAATGACGTTATTAATTGTATGTACTAATTTTCATTATTACTTTTTGCAATTGATCGGATTTGCTCCAGTCAAATTTAATCCCATATTAATTTTGTGACAAACTTTCGTTTTTTGCAGAGCAAAATTGCTCGTTTCGCAGCAAAACCTCATAAACTTTTAATTTCGCATTATAAATTCAAATATTTTAAATTTAATGTGTCCCTTAAATATCTCAGCGTTCGTCAGTCCGTTTTATTCGTTTTAATTACAATTCCCTTCAAAAGGTTATGAGCCCAGCACGCTCTCACCGCATCATAACAGGATTCAGCGTGTTTACGCGATACAAGTTATGAAAGTTAATAAGATATAAGTAAGGCACCACGAATTAAATATAATAATGTGGCATGTGATCTTAATGTTCGTAAATATTTACTCGAATCTAGATCCGTGTTTAGAGCATTTTCAATAATATTAGATGTGGATGCCGACTACATATGTACTTATTGAAAGAGCAACATGTTAAAAAATATTCCATTTACACTCTATTCCAAATACGAAGTTCCATTTGACATTTTATAAATCTTGTTACTTGCATGATTTTGTTTATTTAATTTCGCAATTTTATTACCATTTGTATGTTTGAGTTCACCATTTTTTATGTAGAATTTACCACCATTATAATCTTCCCTGTGATCGATTTCCAATTGTTTTTAAGACATCTTTGAAGCACTTTTCCACGGGTTTTGGTTATAAATTCGGTTGATATATTTGTTTTTTTATATTCAACTATTGAGGAGATCTCATGTGTTCACTATCTATAACTGGTAATATACTGAAGGGAAAAGGTTTGTTAGTAATGACTTCTAACAGTCCCACTGCAAGTCTATCTCCACGTGGTTCTCCCCGGAAATCATCGTGATTATTTTGTCAAACTCTTCACGATGTGCTGACTTACCTGCCTGCGTCCTCAATTATCATTTGACACTGGTGCCCAGCCAGTGTTACAGTTCCATTTTCTTACATAAAAAAAACTGTTATGTAGACTTATATGGTAGTAAATGATAGTGAAGGTCATACAGCTTCTTCTAGTGATGATCAGTTCTGCGCACCAAATATTATTGATTTCATGCCTATTAATAACAACGGAACTAAACAAAACAGTAATAGTCATTTAACCGGTTATATGGACTTCCGTAAAATAACACCTAATTAAATAAATCCAATTTGTTTATATTTACGCATCACTAAGTACGTGTTGTAGAAGGAAGTAATATTTATAATAAGTTTATTTAATCTCTACAAATTACAAAAAGTTTACAAAATATTTAATTTTACACAAAAAATAAATCAAAATATTGTACGTTGAAATCTAGAGGGAACCGAAACTAAGCCATAGCCTGTATTTTGGACGACTAAATATTAATTATATATTTATGTCCTTAATAGTAATAAATATTTATTCAACAAATATGGTATTCAAACAGCAAAATTTACTGATTTAAAAAATGTGTTAACAAAAATGCTACCGATTGTTTGTTATTTGTTTACCTCCGCTCAACATTAAGTATTAGTCGAATAACTATAGCACTGATTTTTGCGGAGCACTTGGCTATAATCATAGATATTGCGATTTTTTTTTAAAGAATGATTTCGATGCCTATTCACCGTTAGTCATTGGAGAACTTCCAACGCCCTGGTAAAATGATAACAGAACTGCTATGCAACCAGACTTGCAAACGAAGCTCAGACCACAACGGTGTGATCTATCGATATCATTGTTTGGCTTTTATTTATGTAATAATGGTGTAATATGTTATCCGCGGTCACCAATATGGTGACCACTTAACAATATATGTAGCATCAATAAATTTTAATGTCAGTAGTAACTAAATTGTTATAATGTTATCGTTGGTTGTACCCAAACTCTGAGATCTTTAATATCGGGCTCTGAATAACCCAAACATTGAGATATGACGTGAGGTCAATTGATAAATTCCGGTTACTTACCCGAAAATTTTGGTATCTAAGCATTCGTATACACAAAGTAGTTTAAACAAACTGAGTTGAATATTAATTGTATTTAGAATGTTTGACCTGGTGTAGAGGACGAAATAAAGACTTTCAGAATTGTTGTCCATTTGCACGAACATAACATAAAGCTTGGAGTTTTATGGGACTTGACCGATTAAGTACAACTGTAGATTAGCTTTTAAATCCTTCCTTTTCATACAATACAATTTGCTTTGAATCTCCAACAACTATCATATTGTAAAGATAGTCTTGCCTTTCTTCACAAGGTGATATTTTGAATGTTTTAAAAGTTGCAATAACATTGTTTGGGACCATTCATGTTTTTAAATTGCGTATAAACATTACATAAAAAAATATTAACCCCAGTATCCAATGCAATAGCGTGGTTCATGATTTTGCGAAAATTCCAAAGAAAATCAAACGGTATTAATAATTCCATTATCTCACTGCTAATGGAATTGTTAGTTTTTAATTCTTTTCCAGAAGAGTTTTGGCCCCTTAATAAAAGGCGCATATGTACTTGTGGAACTCTTTCTGCGAAAGGCAATAAAATTTGTCAATCCGTCTAATATAAATGTTAAAAATAGAGACATTGCGAAATAAAATTCGTACAAGATTATTTTCACACGATTAGAATTCTGTATCCTCATTTATCGATACATTATTATAATGAGTGGTGATTAGCATGAATAATTCAACGATTGATGCCATAAATAAATATATTACCATACCTATTTGAATACCAATTAATGTACAATATAAATGCAACATGCACTTGACCGGAGGTGACTAAACACAGACGGTGTTAGGCAAGATCAAGCATTAATGGACTTTCACAGGTAAATACACTTGATGCGTAAATGCCTACGGGCCGTTTGACAATGTGATTACAACTAGTGAATAGTCAGCCACTGAGCCGCATGGCCGTGCAGCCGCGGTCCACCGTTCGCGCGTCTTCAGTCGTCCGCGACGCAACCGCGCGCACGTACGTCCGCCACTTATCTGAATACGAAGTAAGTTTAATCGAATGAATGCCCGATACATTATCGATTTGTGATTTTCTGATAAAATAATTTCGTTTGTACATTGAGTGGATACAATCAGTGATAATGTTGGGCTGGGTGCGTGAACGCGATGTGGTTCAAAGGCAAATATCTGGTGCCTATGTTGCGCGAGGTATCTATCTAGCTTACAGTGATGGTGATTGTATATATTAGTGCTAACGTGGTGTTGTTGTTAAAGCAGGTTGAGACAAGGAATGGGATGCTGGACCACATGTGCGGGAAACAGGACAGTTCGCCGTTTAACGGCAAGGTATTATGGATTTTTGAATTTGATCCCATCGTGTGTCGAGACTAAGTGCATACCTATTTGGTAATTTATAAACTTGGCTAATTAATGAGTGAAAGAAGTGAAAAGAGAAACTTGACATATATCTTTGTAGCATGTTTCGTGATTGTAAAATTTATACTAAAATTAAAAACTTTGAAGATACATTTGTAACTTCATTAGTGTCATTGATGTTTTAAATAAATATGTTGGTAAAAACCAAAATGTTCAAAGTAAATATACTCTTATTCAAATGATTTTGAACGTATTTTGTTTTCCGTATTGCACTCACACACATGCGCTCGTTATTTTTCTATATTGTCTATCGTACTGTAACTTTAGAATAATACAAGTTTCGCCCTTCTTTTACAATAATAGTAAAAAAGAATCGTTGTTCGTCTTTTTACATATCAATTTATTAGATCCGCAATATCTAAATTATATGTTCATAGTTTTAAATAGCTTTTGATTTAAGGATAGCTGTGTTGATATCGTTATAAGCAAAGATAAGGCCGTTACAAACAGATATTGTAACATTGATCGATGCAAATGGACTTTTGTACGCGTTACTTCTTAAGATTAAGCTGTCGTTATTTTATCTTATCGTACAAGCGTTAGCGGTGCCCGCGACACTAGCGCCGTTGTTTGGCAGTTGTGTACTAAGGTTGTGTACTTGTGTATTTGTTAATTTGATTTAATGTTGCTACGTAATATCAGTCTTATCAAGTTTGTTTAAGTCTTAAACTTTGTGTAATGTAGGTTTAGGTTGGGTTTTCACTGTCCTAAATTGTATTGGTGATTTCGTTGCGTGTCTATTGCATGTTTATGTTTTCATATTTCAGTCTGTTTTTAACATAAAAATTAAGATCTTCCCTAAATGTTAGTTTAGCGTTGTTGTGGATCCAACTGGTTTCCTTGGGCTGTGTTGGGTCTTGCTGTTTTCTTCTAACATCTAC